GTGAGAGGCCCTGGGCGATGGTCAGGGGAGGAGATTAAAAAAGAGTTGATGGGACAATGGGGCTGGTATCATTCTCCCTAGGTTACCTGTGAGGTTTCCATGGAATGACAGCTCAAAGTGTTAGTTGCTCACTCCTGTCTGACTCTCTGTGATCCCTGTGAACTGCAGCCCGCCAGGCTCCTCATCCATGGGATTCTCCAGGCCAGGATACTGGAGTGGGTTGCCGTTCCTTTCTCCAGGGGATCTTCCCTACCCAGGGATCGAACCCGGGTCTCCTGCATTTCAGGCAGATTCTTTACCATCTGAGCCGCCAGGGAAGCCCGGATTCACAGCTACTGTGTTTAATTTTGAAGGTGCTGGATTAAGTTCCTGTCCTCTGGCTAAACTGTTGTTGCTCTCACAGCAACTGGGGACCATACCTATGCCCCCTCAGATTGTGGGCAGCCCACCAAGCCCCCCAACCTGAGCCCAGGCGCAGTCCTCTCATGCACAAGCAGCTCTCTTGTTCTGGCGGGCCTCAGGTCCTGTTCTGGGTTGTGAGCTCACAAAGAAATGATACTGTGGAAGATTGTGAAAGCCAAGAGATGTCTGCACACCCATGTTCACAGCCACGTGATTTACAAAACAGGGGGGAGCAACCCTGATGGATGAATGGATGCACAAAATGTGGTCCATTCAGTGGACGATAATTCAACCTTAAGGAGGAATGGAACTGTGACACCTGCTACCACTCGGATGAAACCCAAGTACGTTGTGCCCAGGGAGGTAAGCCAGACAGCAAAGCCCGGATTTCTGGTCCAAGTCCACTGACACGGTGTCCCTAGAGGAGTCAAAGTCATCCAGTCAGAAAGATTAGAGGTCATCAAGGGCTGAGGGAGGGGACAGGGGGATGTTGTGTAACGGGGGGTAGAGTTTCAGTTTGGCAAGAAGGAGAGATGTCCTGGAGACTGGTTGCTCAACACCGTGAACGTTCTTAGCACGGCTGAACTGTACACTCGAAAATGGCTGAGATGGTAAAGTGTATGGTATGGGTATTTCACTAGCCAAGGAGCCTCTGAGCTGGCCTTCTCACTGGAAAGCTGGTGTCTGTGTGGGCAGCTGGCAGGGGGCATAGCGCTCGGGACAGGTTCCTCCCTGGCTGAGACTCGGAGCTTCCGCTCACGCCGGGTGAGTGTGTGTGTGCACCACGAGGCGCCCAGGCCGCTCCCCGCGCTCTCTGAGGACACGGTGGGTGGGTCACTGCGAGGCGCGCAGGCCTGTCCCTCCCTGTTCCCATCTCAGCCCCGGAGACGGCGCGACAGCACCCTCCGGACCTGAGTCACCAGCTCCCCCGAGAGCCTGCCCGTGGCTCCTACCCTCCTTAACGAGCTGCATCCAGCTGCTCCCTTCTGCCCCCACGGAGGCGGTGCCCTTCTGACTGCAGTGGGGACCAGGGCTGAGCTGACCCCCCACCAAAGGGTCTTCTCCCCCACCCTCCCCCCGGGGGAAATGTCTGCAGCCCTCCAGGGCCCCGGGACAGGCAGGGAGGGAGCGGGGCTGGGCTGGCCTCCTTGGTTGTGCCTTCACTCCTAAAATTCTCTTTTCTTTGTTTCTATGCACTTTTAATAAGGATTTGAACAGAAGATAGAAAAGTAACATTCTGGTCACTTTTTTCTTTTTTAAAGAGGCAGGCTTTTCTTTAGACTTTCATACAAGGCAACAGCTGAGAGAAGCTAAACTCCCAAAGGAAACGGGTCCTGAGGATGGAGCTGAGAAAGGGCCAGACATGGATGGACCAGACCGGATAGCCCAGACACCTGCAATCACCAGCCCACCAGCCTCTCGGAAGCAGCTTGTTCTTTCTAGAAATGGCTCCATTCAGACATAGGCCTCGCTGCCTTTGAGGCCTGGGGTGGCAGAGGGTTCAGAGCAGCAGCGTGTGGAGCAGGTGCCTCACGCGAAGTGAGGAGGCCCTGGCAGTGGGTGCCCAGGCGGGGCACAGGCGGCAGGAGCCACCACCTTGGCGGGGTGCTGCGCTCACTCCTGGAGGGACGTGTGGTCCAGCAGGTGGGCGGGGACCAGGCCTCTGTGGCCGCCCAATTCCCCGTAGTAGAAGCCCTTGTCATCCACGGGTCCGTGGACCGTGACCACATCCCCTGCCCTCAGTGACAGCTGGCCCTTCACAGGGCCCCCTGCCAGCCAGTCCCCCGGGTCATAATCCAGAGCTGCCACCATGGTCTTTGGAGTCCAGAGTGAGGAGGAGGTCCTTCCGGGGCTCCCCTGGGGCAGGGGAGAGGAGCCCTGAGGGCCAGCGAGCCCCCTGAAGTCATCCAGGTGCCCCGGCAAATGCCACCTGCCACGGCCATCAGTCCACTCCCTGCCCGCATCCACCTCGGCCACCAGGTGACCGGCGATGCTGCCCACCAGCCCACTGCATTCACTGTGACAGAAGCTATGGGGGTCCTGAGAGCGCCCCGCTCTCCGTGGCCGCCCTTTCCGGAGGCCCAGCTCGCCCCCTGCAGCCTCGGGGGTGGTGGACACGGCCGGGGGCTCGTAATCAGGGAGGGTCACAAAGATCCCAGCCAGAGGACCCACGCTTGTCCCCGGCGGCGGGGTGGCACCCCTGGGTGTCCCGAGGGCCTTGCTGGACCGGGCAGGACAGGGCGCCGAGCCAGGCCCCTGGAGCCGGCCCACGGCCCCAGCCCCCAGAGCCTGACCACGTGTGCTCGGGCCATGGAGTGCCGGTCTTCGCTCTCGCCCCTCTGCACCCCACGCATCCTCCTGCCGAGTGCCGCAGAAGTCAGACGCGGATTGTTGGCTGCCGCCCGGCTTGGGAGGAATGGACGTGATGGCGTCTGCCTTTTGTCTGAGGACTTTCCCAAAGGTGGCCTTCTCCTGGCACGGCTCGTTGCCGGGCGCAGGCTCAGGGGACAGACGGAGGACTCCCGGAGCAGGGTTTGGGCTGGTGAGCACCCACCGATCCTGGGTCCCTTCCCCGCCGGGCTGGCCCCGGAGCAGAGGTGGCCTGTGGTTCTGGGGACGCTTCTCAAAGAGCTGGTCCTTTCTGGAGGGCTTCCGGGCTTCCGCGGGCCCCTGGGCTTGGCTGCTTGAGCCTGCACTGGGACCTTCTCCTTCTGAAATCAGTCTGGTCTCCGGGGACCACCTCCTTGGGGGTTCTTCAGGGAATGCTTTGCGACACTTGGCCCGGGGCTCCCCGCAGCTTCGGGGGGCACGAGGGCGGGCCTTGGCACTCAGGGATGCCGGACCCAGCCTCCGAGGGCAGATGGGGAAGCTCCCGCTGACAGCAGACGGGTGTTCCCAGGTGTAGCTGAAGGGCGACATCTCTGGCCAGTGGAGACACGTGACGCAATCGTGAGGGATCTGGGCGGGCACGGAATCCAGGGACTCGCCGCAGAGCGACATGGTTCTCACTGAGATCTTCTGGCACGTCGCGGGCCGCGGGAGCTGGGAGAGTTCCAGCAGCGTGCTCCCCGCGGTGGCCTCGGCCACTTCCGCCACCTTGAGCCCGTCAGCGTACACGGCGTACCCGGTGACCGGGACTCCGTTGGAGGACCCAGCTGGGTCGATGGTCACGGGGAGCCAGCTGACCACCAGGAGGCCCGGTGAGGCGTGGCGCTCCACCAGCACGTCCAGCGGAGGGTGGGGGGGCCCCGCCAAGGGTGTCTCGAAGGTGACGGTGGAGGACACCTCTTGGCAGGCCTGCTGCGAGTCGCAGGGGGGATGCACCTCTACCCGGGCCTGGTGCCTCGTGCCAGGCTGCAGGTGGCGGAAGGTGTAGCCATTCACGCCCATGGGGGTCAGGGCACGCTCCCGGTTGTCCAGGTACACCGTGTGAGGGTGGCTGCCACCCACCCAGGCGACCTCGGCCGACGTGGCCGCGACACTCAGCAGCTGGAGGTGCACGCAGGCCGTGTGAGGGATCCTGATGGTCCCCGGAGGAGAGTTGGAGGACCCCCGCCTGTCCCTGCTCTCCTGGGCGCCCGGCCGGCTGGCTTCCATCGTGGTGTCTGAGACCTCTGTTGCCACTTCCATCCTAGAGCCCACCCTCGCCACTGGGCACGGCTCTCTGTTCACTGCCGTTTGGGCTTGCCCAGGTAAGAAGCCGGGACTGGGGTCATCCTTCCAAGCTTGGCCCTGCCCAGCCGCCGGGAGCCGAGTGGGGCCTCGGTCTGGGGACTCACTGGGCAAGCAGCCCCGGATGTCGCCGTCGGGGATCTGCTCCACCAGGTTGGAAGGCACCAGCCCCCGCCGGCCGTCCTCAAGCTCCCCTTCATAGAAGCCGTCCTTGTCCATGTCGCCGAAGACGTACACGTGGGCCCCAGGCGTGAGCGGCAGCTCACTCTCAGGGTGCTCGTTGGGCCCCTCAAATGGGTTGTAGCTGTACCGAGCCAGGAAGATTTTGAGCTTGGGGGTGGCCACGGAGACCTCCAAGCCCCCCGCCTCCAGGGTCGAGGGCAGGCTGTCCGGCTCCAGGTCCTCAGCCTCGCTGGCTGTGTCGGCATCCAGAGTAGGGCAGGAGGGCACTGTGGCCCACGTGGACTCCACCTCTGAGGAGGAATTCGACTGGGAGCCGGTTCTCTGGGGCTGGGGCCTGGAGTCCAGAGGCTGGCTGCGGGAGTCTGGAGCTTGGGGGCCCCGGGCTGGCTCCCCAAGGGCAGCTGGGTTTTCCAGCAGGAGGTCTTCCTTCCTCCCCTGTTTGTCTCCGCTGGGCGGAGGGGACGCCGGGTTCGCAGGCCCTGGCTGCAGCTCGGTCCCCGGGTCGTCCCTGGGTGGGTGGCCAGGCTGACCCTGCAGCGTCCAGATCTCGTCCTGGGCAGCCTGGAGATCACACAGGACCTTCTGCAGGTCGCGCTGCAGCTGCTGCTGCCAGTCCTGCCTCTGCGCCACCTGCTGCAGCAGCTGTTCAGCCAGCAGGCCGGCGGCGTCGCGCTGCCGGCACGCGCGGCCCAGCTGCCCGCGCACGTCCTCGTTCTCCGCCGCGACCTTCCGCGTCCAGTCCGCCTGAGCCTGCAGCCGCGCGTTCTCCTTGGCCAGCCAGGCGCCCTCGCGGAGCGCCACCTGCAGTTGCGCCTCGGCCTCCTGGCCCCGCCGATGCGCCGCCGCCACCTGCGCGCCCACCTCCTCGCACTCCTGCCGCCGCGCGCTCAGCTGGCGCTCCAGCGCCTGCACTTGGCGCCGCGCCGCCTCGCGGGACGCGCTCTGGCCTCCCACCCCCGCGCGGGCGCCGCCGGCGGCCTGCTGCAGCGTCAACTGCCATTGCAGGCGCAGCACCTCCCGCTGGGACTCGCGCTGCAGCCGGTCCAGATCGCCGATGCTGAGCCACTGGGCGCTGGCGGCGCCCTCTCCGAGTAGCGGGCCGAGGCCCGAGGCGACGCGCGCCTGCAGCAGGTGGCACTCTTGCCTCAGTTCTTCGATCTGCTTGTCCTTGGCCAGAAGCGCGCTCGCCTGCTCGGACAGGCCCCGTGCACGCTGGAGGGCCAAGGCCTGGCAAAGCTCCAGGCCCGCGAGGCTCTCTCCGGGCACCGGCGCGCTCACGGCCCGCAGATTGGCCTCCTGCAGCTTGCGGGCCCGGTCCTCCAGGCGCCGCGCGAGACCGGTCAGCTCGGCGCGCTTCCCCTTGAGCTGCTTTGCTTTCTCGTCCGCCTCGTCGGGGAGGCCCAAGCGCCGCAGCCGTAGGTTCTCCTCGCGGAGGCTGGAGCAGCGACGCGCCAGCTCCTGCAGCGCCTCCGACAGCTCCGAGTTCCGCCTCAGCAGCTCGCGATGGTCCGGGCCGGGCGGTGGGGGGCTCGGGGCTTCGCGGGGCCGGCTCCCCGCCTCTTCCCCCTCTCGCAGGTTGCTAGGTGTCTGGCGCTCCGATGGTGGCGGCGGCGGCGGCGGCGGCAGGGGTCTCAGGGAGCCCGAGAGGGAAGCGTCTGGCGAGGACGACTCGGGGGCCCTGGGGTGACTCGGGCTGCCGTCAAGTGAGGGGCGGGGACCCTCCGGCGCCAGGGAGTCGAGCGAGCGGGCGCGCGCCGGGAGCGGGCTGTCGGGGGAGCGGGCGCGCGCCGCGGGAACCCGATCGAGGGAGCGGGAGCGCGCGCGGACGCCCGCGCTGAGGCTGTCCCGGGCTCCGAGTCCGCGTGCGGCCTTGGTGGCGGCCTCGCGGGGCGGCTTTCCCAATGGAAGAGGGGGGTCGGGGGCGCTGGGCAGGGCGGGGTTCCAGTGAAAGTGCTCCAGGATGTACTTGAGAAACAGCCGGCGCTCCACGTCGAGCGCGGCCTTTGCAGCTGCCGCATCTCGGCCTCCTTCCAGCGAAGCAGCTGCCGGATCTCGGCCTCGCGCTCCCGCAGCACGTCCTCCCGCAGCTGCCGCAGCTCCCGGCTTCGCTGCGCCTCCCACTGGGAGCGCAGGTGGTCCGCCAGCTGCTGCCGCTCTCGCTCCGCCTCCTGTCGCAGCTGCCGCGCCCCGGCCGAGAAGCGCCGCCGCTCCTCCCGCCCGCGCGCCCGCTCCGCCTCCAGCTCCGCCCGCAGCTTCTCCAGCTCCCGCCGCTGCTCCTCCAGCGCCGCCGCCGCCGCCGGGCCCGGATTCGCCGGCTTCTGGGAGGCTGCGCGGCCGCCGTCCGCATGGCTGGGCGAGTCCTTGGTCATGGTGGCCGCGGCCGGGCCAGACAGCCGACCTCGTCTGGCCCGGGCCGCCTCTCGCCAACGGCCGCCGCCGCCCCGGGCCGCGGCCAACCGCCCTGAGCACCCCTTCCGGTGCCCGAGGGTCCTCGCGCGCCCCTTCCGCCCCTGGGCGCGCTCTCCCACCTCCTGCGGTGGGCGCGCGGCCTGCGCTCCTCTCTCCGCTGCTTATGCGCGCGCTGGGCTCCGGACCCCCGGGGCTGAACGCCGCCCGTGTCCATCTGGCGATGCCCAGGCGTCTGTCTGGCCCCATGTCTCTGCCCGGTCCTGGTGCCACGTCCCTTACCATCGTCTTCCTGGGTGATACCTTTGAGGCCAAAGAACCCCGGCGGAGTCCCGAGCCACTTGTCTGGGCCTGGAGAAAGGGGGCTTGCTGTGGCATGAAAATCACCGGTGGGTGTGAGCCGACCCTGCCTGGCCCTGCCGAGGATTTGGGTGGTGTGGGTACTGGAAGGACTTACCAGGTGGCCCTAGTGGTGAAGAACCCGGCTGCCAATGCAGGAGATGCAAGAGACGCATGTTCAACCCCTGGGTTGGGAAGATCCGCTGTACGATGGCATGGTGACCCGCTCCAGTATCCTTGCCGAGAGAATGCCGTGGACAGAGGAGCCTGGCAGGCTACGGTCCATCGGGTCACAAAGAACTGGACACAACTGAAGTAATTTAGCGTGCACACACACAGATACACACAGGGACTGGAAATCACAACAGGATGTGCTTGAACTTGGGGGTGTGCCCTGGGCTCACCTAGGGGAGGGTGTGTCTGGCTCCTGCACCGCACTGCTCCTACCCTTCCAAGCACCCCTCCCAGGACTTGCGTGCATTGTCTGTTTAAACCTCCTAAGCCCATTTTACAGAGAAGCCTCGAGCTCGTGGCCTGGGCATGGTGCCAGCCGAGACAGGGCAGAAGGGTTCCTTCCAGAGCCCTGAACTGTGATTTCCTGGTTCATTTTCACAACCACCCCTGGAGACCGCTCTGTGAGAGAGGGACCTCCTGACAGTCACAAGGCCCAGAAATAACTGAAAGTGAAAGTGTTAGTCACTTACTTGTGTCTGACTCTTTGTGAACCCACAGACTGTAGCTTGCCAGGCTCCTCTGTCCATGGGGATTCTCCAGGCAAGAATACTGGAGTGGGTAGCCTTACCCTTCTCTAGGGGATCTTCCCAACCCAGGGATCGAACCCAGGTCTCCTGCACTGAAGATGGGTTCTTTATCATCTGAGCCACCAGTGAAGCCCAGAGAAGCAACGAGTGGGGATTCAAACCTGCAAAATTCCGCCTCCAGTTTCCACGGGCACTCTGATGCCGTCTGACTGACCTCAAGGTCGCAGCTAGGAGGACCCCTTCCCAGGCCTCCTCCCCAGGCCTCCTCTCCGGGAGCCTCACGTTTCACATCCACAGAAGGAGAGAGTCAAGTGGAACGCAGAGGCGGTGGAGGGGCAGGGGAGGAGGTGAAGAATGCAGCTACCCTGAGGGCCAGGCCTGCCCTTGGGTCTGGCTCAGGAGTGCCCAGCTTTTCCAAAAAGAAAAACCCAGGGCTCTTGTGGGCCCTGCTGCTCCCCACACCGCCTCCCTGGAGACGACACGGCCGGAGAACTCTCCTTGGCTCTCCGTGGGGCAGTGCATCAGATGCTTAGGGCTGTGGGCCTTTGGAGTCAAATGTTCCTTCAGCTTTTTGACCTGCTCCTGTGTTCTCAACTATAAAATGGGTGCATTATGCAGCTCGCTGCCACGCTGTGTGACCGCCCAGAGTTCTTAACCTCTCTGAGCACTCATTTCCTCTGTTTCTAAGGTTTCAAGGAAGTGACACTACACAGTGCCCAGAGCAAGCTCCCTGGCTCATTTCAGTCCTAGATTGGGAAACAGGCCTGCAAGGCAGGTATTTGGCTGAGGCTGGCAGGGTGCCAGGGTGGAGCCAGCCCAGGGGCCTTCTGAGCTTCCTGGGGCTCACCCAGATGCCTCGGGGCAGATGGACAGATGCCTCAGAGACCTGGGCATCCATCCAGGCTCCGCCACTTCTTGGCTGAGGGAGTATGGCTGGTTCTCTTCCAGGGTGTATTGCTAGCATCAGCCTTGCAGGGTCAGGGCCCCTGTCGGCCCAGGACCCAGGGCTGGGTGTGTAGTAGGAGGCGCACCAAGGTCTGTGTACGCTCCAGTCTCCCCATCCAGGCTTGGCTGGGACTTTCACAGGCTTCTTCCCGGGGTCTGAAGAGGTGGCCTGGCTCAGAGGCCTCCGGGCTGCAGCGTGTTGGGGTCAACACAGAAACGACACATTCTGTGCTCGGCGCTGGTGCTTGCCATGTGTTATTTTCTGCTTCTGCTTCTTGTTTGTCTTTTTGGCCACCCCACGCAGCTCATGGAATCTTACTTTCCCCACCAGGGATTGGACCCGTGCCCTTGGCGGTGAGAGCTCCAAGTCCTAACCGCTGGTCCACTGGGGTTATTTAAACCAGGCATTCGATATACGAGCGGTCTCAGTCCCATTGGATTCAGAATTCTGCTCAAGGCAGTAGGCTGGTTAGTGGGCCCCACACAACCCCTGGTTTTGTCCACTCACCACTAACCTTATCTTATCCTTCGGCCTCTGCTGAGCAGTTCCTCCTCCAGGAAACCCTCCCTGACTCCAGGCTGGGCTTGGGCAACCCGGGACTCTGCAGCTCTGATCATACCACCCAGGGCCTCTCCTTTTGGAGCAGATACGTGTCTGGTACACCTGTCCCTGCCCAGAGTGGGCTGAGAGGAGGGGTAAGTTAAAGTCCCTCCGCAGAAAGGAGGGAGAGGGACCCGGGGCCAGGCAGGCAGGGGACAAAGGGCACGGCCTCCCCGGCCACCTGGCCTGCCTGGCCCCCCATTCAGGTACCACCTGGCAGCAGGGGCGACGACCCCAGGCTCCAGGCTGCACGCTGGGCCCTGGGCGGGGGCCTCAGGCCGGGCCAGGAGTGAGGCTCAGGCCACTACAGAGGTGCTGGTGGAATCCTGAGCTGTGGAACACACACACCCTGCACACTCAGACACACACATGTACACCTATGCACGTGCAGGCACACACACACACACTGGGCTGCTTCTAGCCCTGCCGACCGTGTGGCTGGAAGCTCAGGAACCTTACTTCCATCCGGCTCTGCCCTGCCCTGCTTGCCCTGGCACCACATGACTCCTGGGGGACTCAGCTGGACTTCTGGTCCCAGTGTTTGCATCCAGTCTTTAATGACCCATGACTGACCCCGCTGCTCCTCAGGGTGTGGCACAGGCCTGGCCCGGGCAGCACCTGGGGCCTTTACAGCTCAGACTCTCTGCTTGGAGCACGGCTGTCTAGCCACGAGTCCCCCACAGGACCCTCGGAGTGAAGTTCCCCTTCCCCCATCAACCTCTCCTGGGTGACCGACCTTCCTGGGTTGCTCCTGGTGCAGGACAGATAGACAGGCAGCCCTCTCACTCACACAGGCTTTCCCCAGGTAGGTGGGCAGACAACCTTGGCCCCCTCTTGCAGGTGGGCAAGCTGAGGCTCAGAGACGCCTCCGCCCTTTCTGATGCACTCGTGTTTTCCTTTTTCCTTTCCCCTGGTATGTGCTTGTTTTTTGTCTTCTGGGCTGTGCTGTGAGACGTGTGGAATCTTAGTCCCCCAACCAGGGATCAAGCCCAGGCTGTCAGCAGTGAAAGCCTGGAATCTCAACCACTGGACCTCCAGGGAATTCCTGATACTCTAGGTTTTTATCCTGGGTTCCCGTGAACGCTAAGGTACCATGGGAGATGCCACTGGGCAGGGGCGAGTACCCAGAACACAGGGACTTTTGGCTCCAGGGGTCCTGTGAGAGGAGAGGTGCATGGGGGGAAGGGGTAGGTGAGACATGGGAGTGGTCCCAGTGGTCCTGGAGCCGCAGGGAACAAGTCTTCAGGGGACCCCCCAGCACAGCTCTGTTGGACAGAGGCTGAGGCCCCGAGGCTCAGCGGAAGCGGGTGGCTTGCCTGGGCACGTGGGCAGCTGGGGCAAAGCCGGACAGTCAGCTCAGGGCTCTGGGAGGGGCTCGGCAGCCTGGCCGTCCTGCCGCAGCCTCCAGGAGTGGGGTCAACAGGGCAGGAAGGCAGGCTGCTGCCAAGGAGCAGGACCGCAGCTCAAGTTCCTGGGAGCCCCACGGCACCATCCTGTCACTGCCTGTGCCTGCCACCCGAGGGGCATGGAAGAGCACAGCGGAGGGCTGAGCAAACAGCTCATCTGTCTGCTCCATCCAAGCCGCGCAGTGATTGTCCAGCGACCTGCAGACACCCGCGGACTCTGAGCTTGGGAGCCCGACGGCTTTCCTTGGGTGTGGCTTTCTTGCCTAAAACATAAAAGGGATGGATTATATAGGTAGTTTTCAAAGGCAGTTCCCTCGGGCTTTGGGGGTCCTGGAAAATACTGTAGGGTGGGAAGGATATGCCAGAGCTGACCGGACAGTCACTCATGTCACCTGTCAGGCTGTAAGGAGGACTTCCCCCTGTGGCTCAACTGGTAAAGAGTCTGCCTGCAATGAAGGAGATCAGGGTTCGATCCCTGGGTTGGGAAGATCTTTTGGAGGAGGGAGTGGCAGCCCACTCCAGTGTTCTTGCCTGGAGAATCCCATGGACAGAGAAGCCTGGTGGGCTGCAGTCCCTGGGGTCGCAAAGAGTCGGACACGACTGAGCGACTAACACAGCGCAAGGAGGACATTGGTTTACAAGTGTTTTAAAGAGGCAGGCTGGGAATTCCCTCATGGTCCAGTGGTTGGGACTCTGGTGTGCTTCCACCGCAGGGGGCACAGATTGAATCCCGGGTCAGGAGAACAAAGATCCCACAAGCCTCGTGGTGTGGCCAAAGGAAAAAAAAAAAGGTGTGCTGCTGGTAAGAGAACCTCTGGGTTGCAGAGCCTTCTGACTATCGCGGGCCCCACTGCCCCAATGCCCCTTGGCTCCCCGATCTGGAGAGGGGGCCCGTGCCCCTTGTGTCTGGCTCCGCCCCACACCCACAGCCCCGCACTCCATGTCTGTGACCGCTGGGCTGGGTGGTCATGAGGTCTGGGGTCCTGGGCAGCTTTTGCTCCTCTGCCCTCCGCCACCCACGCCCTGAACTCTTCGGAGCACTCGACCTTGCTGAGGGTCCTGGGCTGCATCCTGAGAGCCCACCAGGGGCTTTAGGCTTCTGATCTCTGTGGCTGCAGTCGCCCCAGCTTTCCAGCCTGCTTCTCTTATTTGTGGGTCATCAGTGTGTTTTCTGCCCACTCTCCAAAGTCTTCTCAGCACCTGAAACAGCACCCAGGACTGAGTCCAGGCCCGGTGAACGCACGGCTGGAGAAGACGAGGCCAGCCGGCCAGTGTGGCTGGCGTCCTGGTGCAGTCCATGGTCTACGGTCAGCAGGTGTGCGCACTCAGTCATGCTAAGTCATGTCCGACTCTGCTCAACCCCGTGGACTAGGGCAGACACAGGCGTTAAACACAGGTATGGCAAAGGAACACGGTAGCGAGCTCCCAGCGTGGCCTTGGGCTGGGAGCCAGGGGTGCGGTGCTAACCGGGAGAGGAGCCCACCCCAGCCGGGCAGGAGAGCCCGGGCTGCCCAGAGCAGGGACCGGACTCCAGATGGAAGGACCTGCCGTGCCCTCGACCCCTTCCCTCGGGGCTTCCTGCTGCAGGTCACAGGACTGCACCCAGCACCACCCCATCCTGGGGTGGTGTACACCTTCTCCAGGTCGACTCCTGGGCCCACTGGTCCACACCCCCCAGCGGGCAGGGGCAGCGGGTGCCAGCCTCCAGCTGCAGCCCCCTGGCCATGATGGGCTGGTCTCTGTCTCGGAGGTCCTGGCCCCGCCGCCCCCACCCCTTGTGCCCCCTGAGGGTGACCAGCCCATCCCCACCAGCACAGAACAGGCCTCATTCCTGAATCCTCACCACAGTTGGGAGGCTGGTACTGTCCTCTCCGGAGGGGGAAACTGCCCAGGTTCCATGAGGCCCCAGGCGACCTGAGCCTGGTGCTCCCGAGCTGGCCCGTGGGCTCTGACCGCCTGGGCGTCACTGGGGTGCCCGAGCCGCTGTCTCCCGAGGACCTGGCAGCTACCAGCAGCAGCGTCTTGACTCTCAGCTCCTGCTGTTGCCAGGACAGACCCATCCTCCGTCTCCGGCATCTGCATCGCTCTCTGCTCTGTGCCTCTCCCAGCCACCGTCTTCCTGTACCGCCGGGAGCCCGAGGAGGCCTGGTCCATCCCCCAGGCACACCTGGCAGTACCTGAGGTCCAGGCATCCAGCCCTCGCCCTCATCAAATGTTGGCTGAGCACCCCGCCTGGTCCGGGCAGAGGATGGGGGGCAGGCGCCAGAGTTAGTCTCCTTATTCGCTAAGCACAGAGATCCTGAAGTGGGGTTTGTGAAGGAAGGATGGTGGATGGATGGAAGGGGGGGAATGGAGGGAGGGGAGAGGGAGGGAAAGGGCGGCCCTTTGGCTTGGCCATGTCTCCCACACCTCACTTCACCCCTAGTAGTCCGGAAGCAGACTTGGACGGGATCCCTTTGGTGACTGGGGGGCTGAGGAAAGCTTGACTGACCCCTTGAGCCTCAGTTTTTCCCTCGGTCAGTGGGGCCACAAGAGTTGTGACCTCACAGGGGTTTGCGGGCGTCAAAGGCAGGCTTGTGTGTGGGCGCTGGCAGGAGCCCACCTACTGCAGGTGGTCAGGCTCCGCAAGCAGGGCGGCATGGCTTGTGGTGCGGGCTCACCTGCACCTGCCCGGCGGACGAGGCGGTGTTGGGCCAGGGAAGGAGTGAGGCAGAGACTGGGCCCAGACCGTGGGCACCTCCCCTGTCCTCCGTCTGAGCCTGCACACCTCACCAAACCCCCCAATGCCTCTGTCATTTTCCTGGCTGCCTCCCCAGGGTGTGGCAAGCAGGGACAGGAGGAAGGGGTCACTCCTTTTAAGAAATATTTCTGTGTTTGACTGCTCTGGGTCTTAGTCGAAGCCCACCACGACATCTTCCATTTTCCATTTGGCATACAAAGTCTTAGTTGCTGCACATGGGATCTTGGTTCTCCAACCAGGGATCCAACCCATCCAAGCTGCAGTGGAGTGCAGAGTCTTAACCACTGGACCACAGGGAAGTCCCATGCTGGCCAAAGGTGCAGGAGCACCCACTGCGCGCCAGCCCTGGGGGGAGGCAAAGGGTCTGCTTTCTCCCATCTCCCTCCCGGTGTGAAGCCGGGGCTCTCAGGGCCCTTTTCCTCTGCTCGTGGGACACCCACCGAGCTGGAGAAGGGCTCCTTTCCGGGCCTCAGTGATCCCCGACGCACCCTGGGCGTGGCCTGCACTGCCGCTGGGGTCCCAACTGCCATCACCTCTGCCTGGATGACTTCCCTCCTTCCCGGTCCCTACCTCATCCTCCGTCCTCCAGCCAGAAAACTCTCGTTAGACCCAGGCATCTGATCTGACCCTGGCGTCCCCCTTCCAACCTCAGAGTCTCTCCTTTCCACCCTTCGGGTCCCTGTGTTGCTTGGGGCGGGGGGAGGGGGGTAAACACTTGGCCTCCACCCTCTCTCTGTTTCCCAAGAGTGTTACTTAACGCTGTTTGCTCAGCGAGGCTCCCGCCCCACCCGCCCCCGTGGGAAGTAGGTCCTGCACAACCCCTTCCCCATCGCAGAGGCACTGAGCCGGTGTCTGAAAGAATCCCGGTCCTTCTGCACACCTCCTGCGGTCGGCACCGCTGTGCACCTACTGTGTGCCAGCGCCTGATTCCACCCTGTCTGCTAGCGCCGCCGCCCCCGGCTCCCGCGGTGGGGGTGGGGGGAGGGACGGGCAGGGTCCCCGCCCGCGCCCGCGCCGTCGCGGGCGCCCGGCGGGCCGGCGGGCCTGTCTCTGCGGCCGGGTCTCCCCGCGCCCCCCGGTCCTCGCCCTCCGCGCCCCGGACCCTGCTGGAGCCAAGTGTGCCGTCTTGGGGGCGGGGATGGCGGTGGGAGTCGGACCCGGCCAAAGTTTACAAAAAGAACCCACCACTCTGTCTCGAGGGCGGTGGGGCGCCCTCTCGGTCGCTGGCCGCCCGGGTGCGGAACCACCGGCCGTCTCCCCCCCCCACCCCGCGCCCCGGAGCCCGAGCTCGCCTCGGGTAGCCCTGCCGGTGGAGGTGCTGCACCGGACCGGAAACGAGCAGGGCCCGGGAGCCGGCTTACTGAGCAACCGTGGAGGGCTTCGGGCTCTTCCCGGGCAGAGTCGTGCTGCGGCGAGCCAGACGCGGAGCTTGGGAGTCCCGGCACCCCGCCCCGGGCCCTGGCTCCTCGGGAGCGTTTCCTTCTTTTTGTCCACTAAGGGCTAGAGACGACGTTGAACTTCCTAAGACTCGATTGGAAGTGGGCTCAAAAGGACGGTCAGCGGAGTCCAGCCTTGTTCTCTCTTCTCTTGTCCACGACTCGCCCGTCCACACAGTCATCCGGATGGGAGGACCGATACTGGGTTGTTTCCCTGCACTCCTTCCCGCAAAGGCTAGCGCTCCTTGATGGCTTTCGGATGTTACTTTTCTGGAAAGGCGTCTTGATGTTCGTGCCTCCATCTCTGCTCTTGCTGAGATGACTTTGAATCAATCAGGCCTCACCTCTCAGGGTGCCCCCCTGAGTTCTCGCCTTCTCTGACTTGCCTTCTGGGCCACCGGAGTTCTTTTTCTTTCTGAAGCACATAGTTAATCCTTTCACTCCAACCCCTTCCAGTCCTAAGCCTGTGATTTTATTGTCCTGGGACATTAATCCCGGCTTCCCCACACGCCAGACCCTGTGACCTCTGGAAAACCAGTCCACTTGGCCACACCTCCTGCTTCTTGGTTCCCACTACTTTTTTTTTTTTATTGGAGTATCCTCTTGCCGATGCAGGAGATGAAGGTTCGATCCCTGGGTGGGGAAGATCCCCTGGAGGGCGAAATGGCAACTTGCTCCAGCCCTCTTGCCTGGAAAATTCCATGGACAGAGGAGTCTGGTAGGCTACAGTGCGTGGAGTTAGGAGAGTTGGCAGACTGAGTGAGCACACACGCAGGTGACTGATAGTGTCGTGGTCGTTTCTGGAGGGCAGCTCGGGCTCCGTCGCGTGTGTGGGCACCTTTTCTTCCCCACACTCCCTCCCGTGCAGCCTGCCAGGTTATGTGGCGCAGGACTCCCTGTGTGCCGCTGCAGGCCCTGGGTTTCCCCACCACTCTTGCACCTCATCACCGTGGCTGCCTGTCTGCTTAGCTTTGACTTTGCGCTGCTCTCTGCCTCACTTTGACGCTTGTGTGTAATCCTCCCTGTTATTCCCAGTTGGTAGGTGAGAGAATGGGATGCGGGGAGTCTCTGGCTTGCTCTAGTTTCCTAGCTGGGGAGGGAGTGAGCTGTGATCTGCCCAGTCTGACTCCACAGCCCCCGGCCCTTAGGCGTCCTTTGCACGTGCCGTTTGATCTCCCCGAGAAAGGCAGCCTTCCCCTTGCCTGGCCTTCTCTCCAGGGAAGTCCTGGGTTCAGCCCTGCGGCCTTGCCCCCGTCCCCGCAGAGGGAGTAGTTTCCTCCTTCGTGTGACCACAGCACTTTGTGCGTTTCTCTCTGAGTGCTTGTCATAGTTGCAGTTGTGTTGGGCTTGCCTTTCCTCCTGTGTTCTCAGTTCCTCAAGGGCTGGGATCTTGACCTAATTCATCCTGGTATCCCTTAGTCTAGGTTAGTTGACCCAGTTTGGGGCTCCCAGGGGTCTGAGAAGGGAGTTAAATGGCTTTTCAATTACTCTTGTATTGTAAAAATTAGAGCTTAGGAAAGAAGAAATACGTAACATGTACGAAGTACTTATTGAGTACTAAGTCATTTGTGTGAGTTTTTTCTTATCTTTTCAATAACTCGTGAAGTCCGTGTGTCATCATCTTCACTTTAGCAGTGAGGTAGCTGTGAAGCTTAGCAGGCTGTCCAGGGAGAGACGCTGCATCTCCCTGGCTCCGAATCCCACCTTCCATGCCCCTCCCCAGTCTCCCTTCTTACTGCAAGGAGTGCGGAGGAGCATGTTGGATTCTTGACTAGTGGCTAGAGATTCTTTCAGTTCAGTAGCAGATGCTCCTTACAAGATGCTAATCATTGACTGAGAGTCAGTGTTTCGGCCTAGTTTTAAAAAAAAAAAAGGTACCGAATCAGGTCAATCAATACACAGGTTGGATAATAAAAGGGATTTCCGGTGGTGAAAAGTAAACAGGTGTTGAATAGTCAAATGGATTACGTCTTAAAGAGCTTCACATTTCCTCAGAGACCATTTTCTGAGACACTTGGAGTCAGAGATTTTCTTTTAACGGCGGACTGTCTGCAGATAATGTAAAATGCATTATTAAAAGTAGAGCAATTTGCATATGTCAGGCCAGGAAGTTATTTTAGGCAAAGTGAATGTGATGAAGTCTTTAGTTTAAAAAGCAATTGCCGAAAGGATTGGCCTTTTTTTCAGGACCGTTTTTAGGAATTCCAGTGTCAATAAAACATTAAGTACATTTTAATTTGCAAGCGGCTAATTCCGTGTAGATGGCAGCTGCCAGATTGTTACCACTGCTTCAGTCAGGAGGGGAAATGGCTACAAAACTGAAACCTGTAGGTGTGGCTGAGGGAGACTGGCGGCAGTCTGCCTTTCTTTTTAGCCTCTCAAGTGCAGCGCGCCTCTCCCCCACGGCCCTCCAGCTGGGTGTCTTCCCAGAAGGGCTTTTCTCAGTGGGGGAAATGTGTAGATGTGAGCGGGGTGGCTTTCCACTAGTTACTATTACGCTGACTTGTCGGGAGGGACTCCGAGGTGCTGTTTGACTCCTGCTCAGCCCCAGCGGCAGGCTGGCGCGCCCTCTGCCCGTCACCACGGGGGAGCGAGTGGGGCGCTGCTCACGACAGCGCAGGCCCTGGAGGGTGCTGAGCGGGGAGCTCACGTGCTCTTGAGGGCAGGCGTAGCTCGCCGAGGTTAGTGCGTCTGGGGGTGGGGGGAGTGTGGGAGGGGAGTTTTCCCGGTGGTGTCATGCCAGTGTTCGTGTTCTGAATCCCCGGGTTCTGGGGACTCGGGGAAGAAGCTGCGTTTTTTCCCCTACACTCGTGCCTCGCAGTGCGTCGGGACTGTTTCAGCCTCCCTTACTGACATTCTCTAAACGCTCCTCCACGGAGAGGTAGGTGGGACAGGCCCCGCCCGGAGAGTGTGCTGTTGCCGCAGTGCTGGGACCTTTTCTTGGGGTGCACGTGAGAACAAAGACACTTGTCTCGAGGTGCTCGTATCTCTTCTCATCTTGTCACAGCTCTTAATTAAGAGGCTGTTGATTTCCGTTTTATTATGCTAGGTCACTGGAGTGTTCTCATTCTTGGAAAGGATCACTGAATGTTCAAGAGGTACTTCTGTCTTCTTTGACACAACAGTAACTTGGGAATTAAAGCTTGGAGAACCACGACGCCATCCCCTCTGGCCTGGACTCTGTGTCTGTTGTCCCCCCACCTCGAGAGAGAGGTCTCCTTGCGATGGTTTGTGGACCCCCTCCCTCCTGCTCTGCACCCCTGTGCCTGGGCCCGTCTGCCCTTAGCTAACGGGCCGCCTGTCTGCCCTGGCGCCGAGGAGGGACCTGAGGCCCCCGCCTCGCCCCTTCGTCCTGCGAGGGGCCCCTGGCCAGCTGCTGCTGAAGCGGGCCTCTATGTCCCTTCCCCGCCGGGCTTCTCCGCGGCCCCTTTCTTCTCCCCTGGCCGTGGCGCACGCCTGCTTGGGACTGCTCAGTGGGCCCTTTCTGCTCCCCGTTCCCCGCTGCCTCGGTCCCACGCCGGCCCTGACTGGCCGCACGCGGAGAGATGCGCTCATGCCGCTCCCAGGAGCTGCACCCATTCCTGACGTCTTCCTTCCAGGGCGGGCTCAGCAGCCCATCGTCCCTGCCCACCTGTCCTGGACTCCCCGGGGCCTGTGAGCGCAAGGCCAGCATAGCTGGTCTCTCTGCACCAGGGTGACTCCTGGTTCTCAGAGGCTCAGCTCCGCAGGACAGGGTGGGGGGTCCCCCTCTAGGCTGTGCTCTCAGGAGCTGGAGGACAGGGTGGCCCAGCCTAGAGCAGAGATCCCCGACGCCCACTTGCTGAGGAGTGGGGAGCAGGGCAGGAGGAGGCCCGAACTTGCTCTGGCCATTGGTGGTGAGGAGCTTCCATGCTTCAGAGCAGACAGAGGGGCCCGGCCTCGTGCCGCTGACCTCCCTGGGCAAGAGGGACAACGCCTGTGCAGCGCTTCCTGGAATGCTGGGCACTGGCTGGGGTTACCCGTGGTCGTAGGCGCACCCCCCCCGCTGGGCTGCTGGCGGAACCAGCTCCTGTCAGTGCTGTGAGGGTGGGTCTCAGGAAGGCTGTCAGAGACGCTGTGCCTTTCAGCTGAGGTCCTGCCAGCCCCGGCGCTGCGTCCAGAAGCGGGCGCTTGCTGGCACGGGCTTTGCCTGCTTGTGTGTCCTGCCCAGCCTGGTCGTCCTAGGGCTCATGTGAGCCCGGCCCTCGGCCCCGAGAGGGGAGCTGCTGGGCGGAGGCCACTGCGGGGCGGTCCCGAGCTTGGTTCTGGAGTGTGTCCTGGGCCGCCGCATGTCAGCTTAGGGAGCCCAGGTGAGTTGCTGGACCCGTCTGGGTGCGGGTGACGTCACCTGTGTGAAGACCCAGTGAGTTATTGAATAGCAAGATTGCAGAGGCGCGCCCGGCACGATTTCGGTGTGGGTGTCAGCGCGGGTGTGAAGACAGCGGCCTGGGGGGGCTGTGGAGGGGGTGCTGCCCGTGGGGTCATGGGTTGGGGCCCAGAAGACAGGATGACCCCCTCCCCGCACACCCGCCCTCCTGTCTGTTGAGGTCAACTGTCCATTAGGGCTAGGTTAATGAGAGGTTTCCTGAGATAGTCATGCGATCATCTTTGTTTAAAGATGTTTACTTTTTGCAGCAGAATTATGCAGCTCTCGAGTTCAAAATGGGTCTCTCAGACTCCCCTGGGTGTTTCCTCTTTCTGCCCTGAGTGCAAGGGCCAGTGAGGCCGCTGAGCTGGGAGGGCGGTCCTGGCAAGGACCCTGAGCTTCTGGTCTCCTCCCCAGCCCTGGCCACCATCTCCAGCCTCCAGAGCTGTGGGGCCCCAGCAGGTGGGAGGCCAAGGCCGGGTAGGAGCCCATGGGTGGGCACCCGTGGGCGGAGCCAGCCGGGCTCTCGCTGCTCACGCTGAGCCGTGGGCTCTTGAGGAGGGATGGAACGGAGAGGAGGCTTCCTCTGGGTCGGGGGCGGTGGGTTGTGCTGTTTGAACCGCTCTTGGCCTGTGTCTGGTTGGAGTCTTCCATGCTCCACCGTCTTGCCGAGCCTTGTTGCTGCTTCTCACCAGCGAGCTCGGCAAAGGACTGAGACGCTGTAGGACGGCCCAGCCCGGTGTGTGCGCGCGGCTGGAGCCGTGACTGGCGTCAGAGCTGGTGCTCGTGCCGGTGGCCCTGTCGCGCAGGGGCACCCACACTCTCAGGCTGGCATCCGACGGCCTCTGAGCCCATCCTGAGACGGCTGGTAGACGTCCACACATGCCCACCCGGCTGTGGCAGTTGCTGGGAAGCTCCGCACAGGAGAGCACCCCCCAGATGACCCACCGCGTGTTCACACCCAGCCCGTCCTGGGCTGCCAGGCCCGCTGCTGCGCAGGTGAGAGGCAGACGCGTGTCCTGGGGCTGCCTTAGCTTTCCCCCAGCGCCCCCGCTGTGTCTGCTCCCCGGTCAGTGCGTTGTGGTCTGGCGCCGGACCTGGGTCAGCTCTCTGTCTGCCTCCGGCTCATCCGTGTCCTGCCTGAGCTCTGGGGTCCTGATTTCTCCAAAGGGTTGGTGGAACCAGCTCCCAGAGTCTGGACCGGTGCTGAGTGTGGCGTCTGTGGCAGTAACTGAGTGTGACGTAGCTGGCATGGTGCCATCCGCTCGCTGGGGGGTGGTCCTGCCTCCTTGGTGAGCAGTCCCTGAGATTGGAGATGCGCGTCCTGGGGCTCTGAAGCCTGGCGCTGGAGTTTCCAGTGCACTGAGTTACGGTACCGTCACCATGGGGGGGCATTTCCCGGTCGGTGTGCCGGCTGGGAAAGTGCCTTTCTGTCCCAGTCGGCCCCTTTGATCCCATCCGGCAGAGGCAGGGAGCCCTTCCGGGTGATGGCCATCCCACAGGGCGCTGGTGCTGGACAGGCCTCCTGTGCCTTCCCCTCGAACGCCAGGCTCCGCTTGCCTGTTTCCTTCAGCCTGGACGGGAGGGTTCTTGGAACGTTGCTGGCACGACAGACCCTCGCTGGGTGCCCTGCCTCATAGGGATGGCTCTGGCGCAGGCCCTGTGTGTCCCTGCTTATGTCGTCTTGGAACCCGAGTGGGTCTTCTGTGAGTACTGGAAGGTTCCATTCCCCAGCTGCTAGCCCCTCACGGTCCTGACCGGGGCAGGGGGGCCCCCGTTGCCCCCGCCCACAGCCCTGTGACGGGCTGTCCCCAGGCCGGCGGCTCCAGCGCGGGCTCTCATCCAGGCCTTGTCCTGCACAAGGTCTGTGTGTGGCCGGGCCTCCCCAGCCTCTGCGTCAGCAAACCCACCCACCTGCCTGCCTCCACGGGGGTTGAGAGGCTCCAGACGCGGCTCTTCTTGGGCAGGTGGACGTGAGCCCCCGCACAGAGGCCCGCATCCTACCTGGCGTCCCGCCTGCTCTGCCCGCGTTGGGGCGCCCGGGAGGGGAGTGCGACGTGCTGTGGGCAGGCCCCATCCTGTGTCGTATTTTGAATCGGATCGGGTCACTTGTGAAAGCTTTGCATAACGACTCTAAATGCCTGTCTCTCATTGAAGGCCTCTTGAGCCCTGGTTGAAGGCTCACCAGAGCTCTCGACACCAACACACATCACGTCCTCGTCATTACATGCAACAGATTGTGTGTGTTGGTGTCTGGACACGCGTCGAACTTGCGGAGGGGAGTGAAACCCCGGTGTCTCTGTAGCTCTCCTCTAGACCCGACAGTGCGCGCCGCGGTCCTCTGCCCGCCTGCTGCTTGGATGTCCCGGTGCTGTTCTGTATACAGTGGTGGGGGGGGGGCACGCCTCTCTGTCGGGAGGGTTAGGGTGGAGAATGCAGATCAGTGGGGTGCGTCCCGGCTGGCACCGCCCTCCGCAAGCGCGCTCGGAACCCTGGCGGGTCCTGTTGTGCTGTGTGCTGCCCAACGGGCGAGGCCTCTGCCTGGGAAGCTCGCTTCCAGCACTGGAAGGCCTGCGGCGGTCCGGGCCTCAGGCCCTTCCCTGTGGGAAGGTGGGGTGGCCCTCAGGCAGGCTGTCCCGGGTGAGGGTGAATGGGGAGGTGGTGAGCTATGCGCCTGGCCGGGCAGAGGCTGTCTGCACAGAGACTCCGCTGGGCAGCGGTCCCCTCGGGGCCCCGTGGGGTGCAGCCCTCTGCCCTGCTGCCCAGGAAGGCCCCGCCCCTGCCCCGGGGGCCTCTCGACATCTGGCCCTGGTTGCTCCTCACCCAGCAGGGCCGAGGCAGACCTCGGTGGACCCTGCGCTCTGCTCTCCTGACTCCACCCCAAGTCAGGCCCCTGGCTTTCCTTCGCAGGCGGGGTCCTGCTCCCACCGTTGTCCGAAGTCCCAGCTCTGAATGGTGTGGTCTCCTGTGGTCACTCCCTACCCGTTCCCTGTCCTCGGTCACGGGCTGCGGCTACTCTGGTGGGGCTGCCAGGCCTTGAGGCGACCCCGTCTCTTCTCTGGCGCCTTGAGCCAGCGGCCTTGGCTTGTCCTGGGTGGAGGTGTGACTGGCCTTCCGGGTGCGCCGTGGTCTTGTGCAACTCGGGACTTTCTGCGAGCACGCTGGCGCGAGCGTGTCCATAGCTCTCAGCAGTGGGGGCCGGGCGGGCGGTGTCGCGGGCTGGCCTCTGGTGGGCAGGGTGTGGCCACCACCCTGTTGAGAAACCCCAGGCTGGCCGTGTTCCCTGGAGGTGCTGGGCGGGCCGGCCGGCTGGTTTGTCTCGTTATCTCTCCCTTCTGCCTCATGCCCCCTTTTCATTGGTTAGAATGATGCAAAGGCGCTTGCCTCCTCATCTTTGCTGAGCTTGACTTGACAGCGGGGTGACTGGGCTTCACCCGGAAGCGTGCTCCGCTTTCCCGAGGCCGCACCTTGCAGGCCCCAGCCTCGCCGTCTCCTCCCGGATGAGGGGGGGGGCGCCTGTCCCACGCCCATGTGTCTCGATGCCGGAGCTGGACGCCAGCCCTGTGCCCGCTTCTCCTGCTCAAGCAGGGCTGGTTCGCGGCTGTGCGACGATGGCGGCCCACCCTCACCTGCTTGTGTGTGTTTCCCGTACCTCACGTGGTGAGTGCGGGGGTCTCTGAAGCTGTGAGGCGCGCGTGCGGGTCCCTTTAAAGCTCCCTGCACCCACCCCCGTCGTCCGCGTCATCGTCTCCTGTTTCTCGGCTGCCTGCTCTGTGGGGTCTTTGCTCTCTGACCGGGGATTGAACCTCGGCCCTTGGCAGTGAAAGTGCAGCGTCTTAACCACTCGGCTGCCAGGGAAGCCCCTCACTTGGTTTAAACTTTTGCTCAGCTCGGCAGGATGCACCCTTAAGGGACGTGGCGTTTCCTGTCCCTCGCTGAGCCCGCAGTGTCTCGAGCAGAGCTGAGCGCCTGGAAAAGGCCTCCCTGGCCCCTGCTTCCCTCTGTCACGAGCCTGGTGGCTGAGCAGGTGCGCGTGACCTGGGCTCCTGGTTGCCGGCGTCTGCACTGCTCTGCGCGAGCTTTGCGTGGGGAGCGGGCAAGAGCGGGCTGCGCGGGAGAGTCCCTTCCCCCCGAGTCTCCCCAGGCCCTGGGCCCCAGGGAGCCTTTCCTGTGACTCGAGGACCAGCTGGCAGGTCGTGCGGTCTGTCAGGGTCCCCACTGTCTCCTCTGTGTGTTCTTGTGCTCCGCCATCCTGACCACGCCGGGCACGCCGTCGCCCCAGACCCCTGAGCTGGCTCCTCCCCCTGTCCTGCTGCGGATCCCCAGGGTGCCCGGTGCACTGGCCTGCGATGGGCGTGTGCGGTGCTGAGGAGGGGGTCTGGCTCGGAGGGGCTGCCAGGGCCACGGGCGCCGTCCCACGGGCCCCGCGGAGGAGGCAGGCCTGGCTGTGGCCTTGCAGACGAGGCTGCTCCGTGGTGGGTGCGAGCTGGGTCGGGGCTGGTGGGGACGTGGGCGGGTGGGCGGGCGGTGGCTGCCTTGGGCAGTGACGCCTGTTGGGTGGTCACTCGAGTCGCCTGGGGTCGACGGGGGCAGTCAGGCCAGTGCCCAGGGCAGAACCAAGTGCCAGACGGTTCAGTACTCGGCCAGAGTTGGGACAGGGCCCTATGATCGATCGCCAGGATGGAATGGTGTTTGCACGACTGCATCCCCACCAGCCCTGACCCGGCTCGCGCCTGGGCCCTGCCCTTGCGGGCCACCGAGGAGGCCGGGCTCGAGGAGCTCCCCCGCCGTGCCTGGGCCCTGGCGCCCCAGCTGCGTGCCATGTGGAGGGAGAAGCCGCAGCCCTGGGCTTGTTGGCGCCTTGTCCCGCCCCCTCCCCCGAGCACGCAGGCAGCGCTGCCTGGGTCCACGCCGGCCCTCGCTCGGGCACAGCCCGCAGGGAGGGGGTCCCCCGGGGCTGGGCTTCACCGAGGTGGGGCATCTTGGGCTGGGGAGTGGGTCGGGGCCGCCGCTCCGGGTGTCCCTCCCAGGCCAGGGCAGTGCAGCCGCGCTGTGAAACGCCTCGTGGTGTCATCAGCGCTCGGCCTAGTTTGAGGGAGTCAGGAGGGGTAACCCGTGGTGCCTTCCCCCATGTGACACCCCTCTGTGCTTTGTCAACCAACAGGAGCTTGAAGAGATCCGCAAGTGTGGGATGAAAAACTTCCGTAACATCCAGGTCGATGAAGCTAATTTGCTGACTTGGCAAGGGCTCATTGTTCCCGTGAGTACTGGACACCTCCCCTCCAGCAGCCCCGGATGGGGCTGGGCACAGGGCCGACAGGCGCCCCCCGGCCCTGGTCTCCTGGCGTTCAGGGTCCCCGCCTCCCAGGCCCGGAAAGGCCGTGTGTCCAGACCACACACCCAGTGCAGACCAGCCGCCGCCTCCTCCACTTGGGCCTGGGATCCCGCCGTGTCCTCTCTCTGCGCTCCCGCCTGGCTGCCCGTGTCTCTGGCCGTCATGCGCCCGCGTCCCAGCTTCCTCCCAGGCCCCCTCCCACGCTCCCGGTGTCCCTGGGCTCCCGCCCCGGCTCTGCCCCACGTCCAGCTCCCTGCCGCCCAGGCCTCCTCTGAGCACGCGCAGGCTCTGCACCGCGGCTTCCTGTGGCCTCCCCGCCCTCTGGGTTCAGCGTTCCTTCTCTGCGGCCCTTCCTTGCTCCCACCTTCAGAGGCACATCCCACAGGGCCTCCAGCGGGACCCTGGCTCCCCACAGCGCCCGCCGGGGCGGTCCGGCCACGGCCCCGAGGCCCCCAGTCCCGTTCTGCGCGCGCCCTCAGCTTGTCCAGCCTCCCGCCTTCCTGTTGCTCTGTTCTTTGTCCCGGGGACCCTGCTTCTGTTCCCCAGGGGCTTAGCAGTGAAGTACCTGCTTGGCAGTGTAGGAGACGCAGGTGTGATCCCTGGTCTGGAAGATCCCCTGGGGAAGGGAATGGCAACCCACTCCAGTATTCTTGCCTGGGAAGTTCCACGGACAGAGGAGCCTGGCGGGCTGCAGTCCATGGGGTCTCGAGAGTCGAACAGGACGGAACCACTGAGCATGCAGCCCTGCCTCTTCAGCATCGGCCCCGCGTCCTTGCTGGGTGTGGGGGTGGAGTCTCAGCCTCTGTTCGGCCTCCTTGCTGGAGGCGGCCTCGCTGGGACGCCATGTGCCTTCCCATGTCCCCATGGGCTCTGAACCAGGGACCCTCGGACGAATGCCGCCTGCCTCCTTGTTCTTCCTGCCTCCCATCCTCATCCCCGCACATGAAATCTCTCCTTGTGGGCAGAGGGGCCGCTGTGCCTGAGCCAGCCGGGGACCATGCTGACCAGAGATGCCGCCCTCTTGGCCCTGGTTGTGGGCCATGCTTCTGCACAGACCCCTGGAGCTTGACAGCGCCCTGGACTTGCAGTTCAGTTTTGTGATCATTTGGAAACCTCAGTAGAGAGACGCCATGTAGTGTCAGCGCACGCTGAAAACTAGATGGCGGTGTCCAGCCTGGCTGTGCCCAGGCTGCCCACTCTGGGGACCCGTCAGGTGCCAAGTAGAAGGGGGCTGCCACCGCCGCTCGCGGGGTTTGTCCTCTACTGATGGGGTCGGGCAACAGCTCAGGTGTGGGCCCTGTGAAAAGTGCTGGGAACGGCCGGGGAGGGTTTGAGTGGTCAGGCTGGGCCGTCTACCCCAGGAGCTCAGCGGTGGTTCCGAGCATCGGTGGCAGTCCAGCAGGCGTTCCCAGGGCTGTGCTGGCAGAGCTGGGGCTAGGGGTGGGGGTGGGGTTGACGCCTCGTTGAGCACTGGGTGGGGTCCCGGTGGTCCGGCCTTCCCCCTGGGGCAGCGGAGCGTGGAGACTGGGGCCACGGCCGGAGCTGCACCCACCGCCTTGCTCGGATGCTGGGGCGGTTCGCCGTTGCCTCCTCTAGGGATCTTCCCAGCCCAAGGATTGAACCCACGTCTCCTGCCTTGGCAGGTGAGCTCCTCATCGCCGAGTCAGCAGGGAAGCCCCACATTGTTGTGGCGCCTGAGCCTAGTCGCTCTGCGGCGTGTGGATCTTCCTGGACCAGGGATTGAACCCATGTCTCCTGCACTGGCAGGCAGAGTCTTAACCGCTGCATCATCAGGGAAATGCTTAAAGTTTCTCTTTTAAAAAATCAGTCGATTTTGCTTCATCAGTTTTTTTATTGTGATAAAATTCATGTAACATAGTTTGTCAGTTTAGTCTTTAATTGTACAATCCAGTGACATTAATTACAGTCAGGTTGTTCTGCAGCCATCATCACTGTATTTCCAGAATCCATACTGAAATAAATTCTCCAGCCATGAATTAGTAATGCTGCGCTTTCCAGCCCCGAACCCTGGTACTTTCTAATCTGCTTTCTGTGTCTGTGAGTTTGATAGTTTATATAAATGAGTTGTGTAAAATTTGCTTTTTTTTTATCTGGCTTATTTCAGTTAGCAGAATTTTTTGAAGGTTCAGCTGTTTTGTACCCTGTACAAGAACATCACTTTTATGGATGAGCTTATCATAAGACTATTGTGGAATCAGCTCTGCCACACGTGTACCGAAGCTTGTGTCCATTCATCCTCCGCTGGTGGACAGGAGGGTCGTTTGCCTCTTTGGCCGTGTGGTGCTGCTGTTGTGACGTTGGTGTGCAGCTGTCTGCTTGAGTCTCCGTCTTCAGGGCTTTGGGGAAACACGCGGAGTGGCTGGGTCACGTGGCAGCTCTGGGTTCAGCTCTTTGAGGGGCTGCCATGCTGATTCCCACAGTGGCTGCACCTGTTACAGCCCCACCACCAGAGGACAGGCTTTCTTGTACTTCTGCATCCTCCCCTTACCCACAGTGATCCCCCTTACCCACAGTGATCCCCCTTACAGTGATCCCCCCTTACCCACGGTGATCCCCCTTACCCACAGTGATCCCCCTTACAGTGATTCCCCCCTTACCCACGGTGATCCCCCTTACAGTGATCCCCCCTTACCCACAGTGATCCCCCTTACCTACGGTGATCCCCCTTACAGTGATCCCCCCTTACCCACGGTGATCCCCCCTTACCCACGGTGATCCCCCTTACCCACGGTGATCCCCCCCTTACCCACGGTGATTCCCCCCTTACCCACGGTGATCCCCCTTACCCACGGTGATCCCCCCTTACCCATGGTGATCCCCCCCCTGCCCATTTTTGTATGTTATCACATTCTGTTAGATGTCAGCTAGCATCTCATGGCCATTGTAGTAGATGTCGGCTAGCTTCTCACAGCAGTTTTGTTACACCATTTTGGTAGAAGTCAGCTAGTGTCTCACGGCGTTCTGTTACAACCATTCTAGACATTAGCCAGTGTCTCGCAGCCGTACCCGAGGCTTGCAAGTCGGCACGCCCTGGTCACCTGGAGGGCGTTGTGTACGAGGGTCCCGCTCAGCGCTCCGCGTCCTGTGTGTGTGCACAGCGTGTGGTGCCGCACGTCGGCCGTGGGGGCATCGCACGCACAGGGTCGTCTCCCTGCCTCAGCCCCCCCCCACACCCGGCTCCTGGCCGCGGGTGGCACTTTTCTCTAAACTGTCTTCCTAGTCTGCCCGTCCTGAGAGAGTCCTACAGCTGGACTCACACAACAGCTGCTCAGGTCGTCTTCCTTCACTGAGTAACGTGCAGTTAAGATTTCTGCGTGAATTTGGATAGTTCGTGTCTCTTTAGCACCAGATGCTGTCCATTGCCTGAGCGCACAGTTTATTTGTCCATTCACCCCTGAAGGGCATTTTGATTGCTTCCAGATTTTGGCGATTCTGAATAAAGCTGCTGCACACGTTTTGAGTTGGATTGTTTGTCTCTTTGTCTTTCAGTTGTAGGAGTTCTTTATGTTAAACTCTCATCAAAAAAAAAGAATAAATAAGCTCTCCTCAGACGTGTCATTCGCAAATGTTTTCTCCCAGTCAGTCTCTTGATTATGTCCTTTGGTGCGCAAAATGTTTAGTGTTCATCAAGTCCACTTTATCTGTCTTTTCTTTTGCTGCTTGTGACATATTCAAGAAACTATTGCCAGACCCAGGGTCATGCAGGTTTGACTTTTGTTCTCTTCTGAGAATTCTTACAGTCTTAATTCTCAAACTTAGGTCACTGATCCTTTTTTTTTTTTAAATGGTGTAGGAATAAAGGTCCAACTTCATCCCTTTTGCATTAGGATATCCAGTTTTTTTAGGGCTATTTGTCAAAAAGACTGCTCTCCCCCACTGAATGATCTTGGCATCCTTGTCAGAAATTTATAGAGCTAGACTCCTGATGAGGACCTTCCGGTACAGTGCAGGCGACTGCTCAGTCCTGTGTAGCAAGCTGTGTGGGAAAGACCTGTGAGAGCAGTGGTGTCGTGTGTGCTCGCTGACTCGCTTTACCGCCCGGGACAGCAGCACCGCCTCGTGAGCGGTGCCCACCCCGCGCGTGAAGGAGTGGTGGGGCGTGCTTGCGAGGGCTCACGTCTGGGCTCAGCCTGTTGGTCTGTGTCTGTCCTTGTGCCAGGACGACACTGCTCTGCTTACTGTAGCTTTGCAGTGAGCTTCTGAAATCAGGAAACGTGAGCTCTCTGGTTAATCTTTCTCAAGCTGGTTCTGACGGTTGGAGGCGCCTGTGTACCTGAGCAGGAGGACCCCGTGGGCCTTGCCAACAGACCTCCTCCGTGTCCCCTGCTGTAGCTGCTCCCAGACCCCTGAGGCCCCTCGCTCCGAGTGTCTGATGCACGCTTCCTCAGTTGTTTTTCAGATCCTAAAACCCCCAGTGGAAGAAACGAACTACTTGGAGGGGGTGAGCAGGTACCTCCAGGCCTGCTGGCGCCTAAGGATCAATAACCTTAACCCTTGTGACCGCACCCTGTCACCTCACCTTCGCCAAGCAGAGGACCCGACCCGCGCCGCTGGCGTAGCCTGGACCCCCCTGGGTTTCAGCGCTCTCTCTCCTGAGCCTAGAGCTGGCGCTGCCCTGATTGCTCGTGTGGCTCCTGTGCGTCCCTTCTCGTGGCCCTGAGTCAGCAGACCGGCTGCGCCAAGCACCAGCACGCAGACCGGGCTTGGTTCAGTAACACGCTTTGAGGTCTCCTTTGAATTTCAAGGAAGTCTTCCATTTGGGGGGAAAAAAATCGAGGTTTTGATAGGGATCATAGTGAATATTCAGATCGCTTTACTGTTATCATGTATTACTATAGATGATAGAATTATCATCTATAGTAAGTCTTGTAGTCTATGAACCCAGGATGTTTTTCCATTTAATTAGGTTTTCTCTTCTTTCAGCAGTGCTTTGTAAACTCCAGTGTAGAAGCTTCACACATCTGTATTTTTCAGCTCAGGATGTAAAAACAAAACCATAGGCTGGGCCACACAGAACCCCAGAATTCAGTTTTCTCACAGCTCTGGAGGCCAGAAGTCCCAGGGAAAGGGCTGGCAGGGCCCCCCGTGTCCTCAGGCTCCTTGTCTCAGCGCTTGGGGGGAGAGCAAGGGTGCACGTGCGCTCGCTCTTTTTTTTTTTTTGACCATGTTGCCTGCAGGATCTTTTTTCCCTGCCCAGTGATTGAACCTGCACCCTCAGCAGTGTGTCCTAACCTCTGGACCTCCAGGGCAGCCTCAGGAGCTCTCCTCATTTAGGACACGGATGCTGTGAGCTCAGGACTCCACTCCGTGACACTGTTGAACCTTAATTACCTCTTTACTCTCGGCACGATGTGGGGGCGTCCGTGTGTGGATCTGGGTGGGGCGAGGGGACACCAGCATTGAGTTCGTAACGGCCACCTTGCTTAAACATACCCTAGACATTTTCATCTTCTCAGTGGTAACTATAAATGGGACTGTTTGCTTCATTTCCTGTTTGGGGTCGCTGTCGATCGTTGTTAGCGTGCAGAAATGCAGGTGATGTTGGTGTGTTGCTTTTGCTTCTAACGGTGTGTGTGTCTGAGTCATCTTAGAGTCTTCCATGGGTACGACCAGGCCAGGTCCAGACCTCCCTCTCTAGTGGGGATGCTTTATTTCCTTTTCTCGCTTGAGTGCCCTGGCCAGAGCTACCAAATATTGAATTGTGGTGGTCTCCAACCTTTTTGGTGCCAGGGACAGGTTTAGTGGAAGACAAGTTTTCTGGGTGGGGGTGGTTTGGGGATGATTGAAGCACCTGATTAGGATCTGATTTGATGGGAGATGGAGCTCAGGCAGCGATGCAGGCAGTGGCCAGTGGCTGTGAATCTTCTCCATAGAGGCAGTGTGCCTGATTATCAGTGGAATAGTTTGCGTTCTTGTTTTGCACAGTCTTTGCATCCCGGGTGGTGTCACCTCCCTTTGGGAGAGTCCTGTTTCAGGTACACAGTGGGAACTGGCCTGGTGGCCACGTATTGGACGGAACATGTGGACTCAGCCCTGGTTCACAGTGAGGGAGCTGGGTGGACGCCAGCCTGGAGACGGGGCGGCCTTGACTAGACAGCCTGCTGCCCTCTGTGGGGCTCCTCCCGGGGTGACTTCTGCTCTGTGATGGGGGCGGGGCTGTTGTCTCGGTGAGTTCTGGCTCAGGCAGGGTCCTTTATCTGTCCCCGCGTTTCCTGTCCTTGGCCTGTGTGTTACACAAGCAGTCTGTGGACTCTCGAGTCTCTGGTTCTCGTAGTGTGCTGCAGGCTGCGTTTCGGCGTGTGCAGGCGGGCTGTCTGCGTAGCATGGCCTGTTTCTCTTGTTCACTACATGCCAGCAGCCGCCTTTGTCCGTGAGACGACCTCGGGCGCTTTGAGCCTCTCCAGGAGGGACAGCCCTGCACTCTGTCGGAGCCCTGCTCCTGAGTCAGCCTGCTTCCTCTCCGCAGTTTCACTGGGAGGCAGAGACCACGCACCTCACCCATTAAAGAGTGCAGTTCAGTGGCCTTCGCTGTGCCTCCTCTGTCACAAGAGTAGAAGGGCTTGTTATCCTCGGAGGTCTCCCGTTAGCGTCGCCCCAGTCGCCCAGGCACTGAGCTGCCCTGTGTATTTCTCTCCTGTTTCCTGTATGCGCCCCGTGTGCTTGGTCTGCCACAGCCTCTCATGTCTGGCCTCTTCCCTGCGGTGGCGTGTGTTTGGACGCCACCCTCTCGTGCGCCAAGTGGCCCCGTGATGGCTCTCCAGAGTTGACTGGTCCGTCCACCGCGTGAGAGTCGCTTGATCGTCTCCACGGTTTGGCTGTCATGAGTAGCGTAGCTGCGGACATTCACGAGTGGGGTTTCCTGTGGAATGTGTCTTCACTTCTCAGGGTGCCGGCCTGGGCTGGGGTTGCAGAGCCCTGTGCTGGCTCTGTGTCTGGTGCTTTGACGGGTGCAGGCTGTTTCCACAGCGGTGGCACTGTGCCACCCCCACCGCCGCACGGAAGCGTCCGGCTTCTCCACCTGCTGACTCCGGCTCGCCGGCGTCTGTCTGTCTGCTGTACAGCGCTCCTCGCAGGTGTGAAGTGGGTTTTGGTTTTGTTTTGTTTATTTTCTGGCCTTGCCACCCAGAATGTGGTATCTCAGTTCTCTGACCAGGGATCAACCCGCCTGCATTGGAAGCCCGTTGGCAAGAGCTGAACCTCCGGGGAAGCCCCTCTTGTGGCTTTCGTGGACTTTTTCCTGAGGGGATGATGAGTCTCTCTCCCATGTGCTTGTTGACCATTTATGTATCCATTTTGGAGAACTATCTGTCCATGTACCTTATCCACGATAAAACTGTGTTATTATTCGGTTGTAATTTCGTTTTTAAAAGCTGTGTGATCAGTTTTTCCCTCCAAACGAGGACCTGTTTTATTTCCACGTGAATGATCGTGCGTTGATCCTGCCTGCTACTCGCCATGGGGTCCTCAGGCGTCTGCTCACTTCGCCCCCGGATGCTGTGGCTGGTGGCTGGGCACTCTTTTCTGTGGAACAGACTCCAGCCTGGTTCTGGAATCCTTGTGTTCTAGGTACGTTAAACTGTTGTTTGATGGAGAACATTCTTGGCCACGTTCAAGAGAACAACATGAACACTGGTGTTGATGATCTCAGGGTCAAGAGGAGAAACGGATAGGTTAGCCGTTCCGTTAGCAAACGTGAGGCCAGTTCTGGGGATGCCTTGGGTCCCTGCGCTCAGGCATCACCCGGACTAAGAGAGAAGGAAGGCTTCTTCTGCCTTGAGAACGCAATTGGTGACCTTGACCTCGACCTCACGGCTTCCCAGAGTGGGTGCTGCTCCCGGAGCAGCAGTGCCTGCCGGTCAGTCCAGACACTCCTTACAGGTTTAACACGTTCTCACCCGGAAGTGGGGAGGGGTGAGGCATCGGGCTGCGTCTGCCAGGGGCACACGCTGCCACCCTCGTGAGGGCCGGGTGCCACGGCAGGGTGAGGGGTGATGCCAGCAGCAGGGTGTGTGCATGCAGGAAGCCTGAGCCCGCCCACACCCCACGTTCTCTCCCGAAGACATGCGTTTCTCTGACGTTAGTAGCTCTGGAGGCTGGGTCCTAGAGAGCAAGTGTGACCCTCCGTTTGAGCGGGCACAGACTTGCGGTCCCTTGACCATGAGCACGCTGACTGGTGTGCATCCAGACAATGGAATAACTGTCGTTGTTGTTCAGTCGCTAAGTCGTGTCCGACTCTTTGCGACTCCGTGGACTGCAGCACGCCAGGCCTCCCTGTCCATCACCAACTCCTGGAGTTTATGAAAACTCATGTCCATTGAGCCAGTGACGCCATCCAACCATCTCACCCTCTGTAGTCCCCTTCTCCTCCTGCCCCCAATCCCTCCCAGCATCAGGGTCTCTTCCAGTGGGTCAGCTCTTCGCATCAGGTGGCCAGAGCACGGGAGTTTCAGCTTCAGCCTCAGTCCTTCCAGTGAACACCCAGGACTGATCTCCTTTAGGATGGACTGGTTGGATCCCCTTGCAGCCCAAGGGACTCTCAAGAGTCTCCTTCTGAGTATCTCTTGAGTTCCTACTTTTGCATTCCAATCCCCTATGATGAAAAGGACATCTTTTTTTGGTGTTAGTTCTAGAAGGTCTTGTAGGTCTTGATAGAACTGTTTGATTTCAGTTTCTTCAGCCTCAGTGGTTGGGACATAGACTTGGATTACTGTGATAATGAATGGTTTGCCTTAGAAACAAACCAAGATCATTCTGTCATTTTCGAGATCTCACCCAAGTACTGCGTTTCAGACTAGTGTTGACTAGGAGGGCTAGTCCATTTCTTCTCTGGGATTCTTACCCACAATAGTAAACATAATGATCATCTGAATTAAGCCCATTCCATCCATTTTAGTTCACTGATTCCTGAGATGTTAACATTAGGTTAACATTCAGTTAATTGCCATCTCCTGCTTTACCACATCCAGTTTACCTCGATTCACGGACCTGACATCCCAAGTGCTTATGCAGTATTTGTTCTTTACAGCATCAGAGCTCGCTTTCGCCAGCAGACGCGCCCACAGCTGAGCGCCGTTCCTGCTTTGGCCCCAGCGCCCCCTTCTCTCTGGAGCTCTCAGTCGCTGCCCTCCGCAGGAGCATGTTGGACACCTTCCGACCTGGGGGCTCATCTTCCAGTGTCATAGCTTTCTGCCTTTTCTTACTGTCCATGGTGTTCTCCAGACAGGAATACTGGAGTATTTTGCTGTTCCTTCTCCAGTGGACCACCTTTAGTCAGAACTCTTCGTGTGACCCGTCTGTCTCGTGTGGCCCTGCGTGGCATGGCTCAGCTTCATTGAGTTACTCAAGCCCTTTCTCCACGACAAGGCTGTGATCCGTGACGGTGAATGGAATAAACCTGGGCTCCAAAAAGGAGCGCTCTGACAAGCCACGGAGGACCCTTTTAAACGCTTTCTGAGTGAAAGAAGCCGGTCTGGAAGGCTCCGCGCTGTGTGATTTCAGGCAGAGGGTACAAGGTGGCTCACAGCATCCAGCACCGTGACAGGCTGTCTGCGGGGTGTGGCCTGTGGGTGACGATGTCTCGGCCCCTCACTTGTAACGCGGGGGTGTTGGTGCTTGGGGAGGCTGTGTGTGTGTGTGCGTAAGAATTCTGTATCTTCCTCTCGGTTTTGCGGCAAAGCTACAGCTACTAAAAGAAAATAAAGTCTATTTTTTAAAAAACGTAGAGAGGCCAGGGTGTCCATCTCAGGCACCCTGCTCTAAGAATACTGATTATCATTCCCCTGGTGGTGATGAGGCTTCAGTTGATATAACCTGTTGAATCAAACGGAGTGTCTTCGAGGTAAAACCCTTGGAGCCATCCTGTCTCAGCTGCAGGCTCACGCTGTCTCCTTCCCTGCAGGACAACCCTCCCTATGACAAAGGGGCCTTCAGAATTGAAATCAACTTTCCCGCAGAGTACCCCTTCAAACCACCGAAGATCACATTCAAAACGAAGATCTACCACCCGAACATCGACGAGAAGGGGCAGGTCTGTCTGCCGGTAATTAGTGCTGAAAATTGGAAGCCAGCAACCAAAACCGACCAAGGTAAGGCGTCCGTCCCCTTGATGTCAGCGGGCTTGGAGCCCAGGCAGGCCTGAAGCGCTGACCCCGTGTACCTGGAGGCTGCCGCTTCCTGCTGTCCCACGGGCGTGACGCGTCGCCACTCAGCTCCAGCCTGCGAGAAGGCTGCAGGGTGCGGCCCTGTCACCGGGAGTGTTCATGAAGGACCGGGGGCTTCATAGAGGGGGAGCGGTCCCCCAGTGGGTCACATGTGGGCTCAGGAGGAAGGTGGGAGAGAAGGTGCTGGGGCCCGTGGACTAAGGAGAGGGCGTGAGCCGGAGGGGCGAGGCAGGCCACTGGATGCCGGGGCTCGAGGGGCGTTGTGGGAGGGCCTGGCCTGGCTTGAGGCCGTGTACCCACGTGGAAGCACATGCTGGCCTTAGCAGGCCCGGAGCTCCGTGTGCCTCTGGACCAGTGCCCATGCACGCTCATGTTTCTGGGAAAGTACTTGGGTCAGCACTGTGGTCACCCCCCTTTTGTCCCCTGTCCCCTGTGAGTGACGCTGCTTTATTCTGGCCCGTGTTCACTTCCCTTCTGTCTCTTCTGTCTGTGCTGCGTCTGCGCTGCTGCCTGCAAGCTTCGTCCAGCTGCGGCGGCCTCTCCTCTGCAGAGCGCAGGCCCTGGCGCGTGGGCTCCGTGGCTGAGGCGCACGGGCTTCGCAGCCCCGAGGCACATGGCGGTCTTCTCCGACCAGCGATGGAACCTGCGTCCCCTGCGGGGCAGGCAGGGCCTTAGCTGCTGGAGTTCCGGGGAGGTCCCTGGTTTTTGTTCTCAGTTCTGTAGCTCTGTTTTGCGGTCCTCACCTGGTGTTTTTGGTGGCTTTCTTAACAGTGATTCCCTGAACCACTTACAAGGTCTCTTTAGATTAGAGCGAATGGGTGAGTCTGGGATTTGACAGGCTGCAGGTATGTTTATTTTTTCTGGTGGCTGATACAATCATTTTCCAGTGGAACCGTTGGAAGATGGGTTTAGAAGCCTTTCCCACAGCAGACCTCCGTGGACGAGGTCCCCATGAAAGGCGTCCACCGGCTCCCACAGCTGAGCGCCGAGCTCAGTCAAGGGAGGCGTCCCCAGGGGACTCGGCACTTGGTCTGCGCACAGACGAGGTCCGTGTCCTCGGGTGAGGACAGGCCTGGCCTTCCCTGCAGACTCAGCTCTGTGTGGACGCCGGCAGCTGCGTTTGCTCAGGCGGCCGGACCAGAGTTTCCGGTCTCCCCCCTCACCTGGCGCCCAGGGCAGGGGCCCCGCTCGGCCATGGCAGCTAGGGGCCTGTTTTCAGCCGAGGTCTTGGTATGCAGACAGCACGCTCCACTTGTCCAGGTTGTGAGTGCTTATTTCAAACAGCCAGGTGACGGAAGAGACGTTGCGTTCTGTTGTACTTGTTGCCTTAGGGTGTGAAGAGGAAGCTGCCGTCTTACGCAGGGTGCTATTCTCTGCACAGTGGCAGGCAGGATCGCTGCTCCGTGGTGGGAGGTCCTGGTGAGGCCTGGCCCTCCTCCTCGCTTCTTCAGCAGTGTTTCCCCACATCTCTGTTCCCTGTGACTCTCCTGTTACACAGCGTCTCCGAACCTCGTGGCTCAGGGCGACTGCACTTTATCACTCCTGGGCCGTGGGCTGTCTGCTCAGCTGGCCACTCGGGGTCACGGTACCCTGCGTTCCCAGCAGCGCTGTAGCAGACAGCTGACGGCTGCAGGCGGTGAGACGCGGCGGAGGGAGGGGAGCCGGAAAGGAGGCCCATTGGGGTCGCTGCTGGGGGGCGGGACGGGATCGCCACTGATGGGGCTGCGCTTGGGCCGGGACGGGATCGCTACTGCTGGGGCTGCGCTTGTGGGAACAACAGAGGCCTTCGTGAGGTAAACAGTGGTGTCACACGGTTTTGTGAAGATGCTCAAAGCAGCTGAATTGTCCGGTTTTTAGAGAGTTTAGTTCTTGGCCTGGTGAATTATATCTCAGTTTTTAAAAAGAAAGTAAAGAAGCATCAAAAATGGGAGAAACGTCCAGAAACAAGGCAAACCTGAATCATACAGAAAGGCTGCAGGGGTTGGCAGTAACGGTGCCAGATGAAGAAATATAAAAGCAGTTTTCTCCACAGTCTGGTTCTGGCAGGTACCTGGCGGCAGAGCGTGGGCTGCGCTGGGTGGTGAGTGAGGTTGATGCTGTCAGGAGCGAGGCCGCTGTGAGCCTGGCCTCTGCGAGCGCATCGCAGCGAAGCAGCAGACGCCGGGTCGGGAGTCAGGTGCCCCCGTGCCCCCGGCGAGGTCCCGTCAAGGTCCTGGCTGCCCTCGGGAGCGTTGTGGAGGCCACCCTGAGCCGTGTGAGGGCCTCTACCCTGGAGCGGACATCCGGTGCTGCTGGGGGCCGAAGCCTCCCGGCGGCCAGACAGGTGGTCAGAGGACCCTTTCTCAGCCACTCTGGAGCTCCTACGGCCCTTCCGGGGGGGCTTACCACTCACACGGGCAGGCCTGTCGCGCAGCCTGAGCCAGGTAGAGTGCTGGGCACACTGCCTGGCCCCTGCCCTGGGGAGGCTTCACCTGTGAGATGGGAGTGGGAGTGGCTGGGCGCTGGCCTCCCCAGGTGTCAGTGCAGGGAGGCTTCCTGCAGGAGGAGAGGAGGACGCGGTGTCCTGTGCGGCGCGGTCGGTCTTCGCTGCAGTGCTGACCGCTGCCCTCCGTCAGGGGCGGTGGGCTGAGTGCTTGCTGGTGGCTGGTGTTTTGGCCGAGCGGGTGCCGCGGGGCCTGGGGGGGCGCTGGTGCCAAGTGGGGGCCTCTAACGCGTGGCGCCCTGTCCTTCTCTCCGCAGTCATCCAGTCCCTCATAGCTCTGGTGAACGACCCCCAGCCCGAGCACCCGCTCCGGGCCGACCTAGCTGAAGAGTACTCTAAGGACCGTAAAAAATTCTGTAAGAACGCTGAAGAGTTTACAAAGAAATATGGGGAAAAGCGACCTGTGGACTAAACGCTGCCGCGATGGGTTCCAGCAAGAGTGAGCAGAGACCCCGAGCAGTGCATTGAGATCCCGCAAAGCAGGACTCTGTGGAAAATCGACGCGTGCCACCGCCTGGCGTCTGCTTGTGGCAGTTACTAACTTTCTACAGTTTTCTTAATCAGAAGTGGTCTAGGTAACCTGTAAAGAAAGGATTAAAAATTTAAGATGTTCTAGTTCTGCTTTCTTTGTTTTAAAAATCACTGCTTCAACCTACTTTTAAAAAATGGTGTTTCTTTTCCTGTCCAAATTTATCCAAAATCAATTTACATTTAGGCCATAAGGTTTAAAAAAGGGGGGAGGGGAGGCTGTGGTTCCTCTCCCCAGGCCCGGCCCCACCTCCACTGGCAGGGGCGGCCCCGCCTCCAGGCCCCTCTGCTCCACCCTGGCTGGCCTGGTGTGGGAGTCAGTGCAGACTCCTGACTCTGATTTATAGCCTCCTTTTGAAAACACCAAGAAACAAGCAAACCTCCACTCCAACCCCCAACCAAAAACAAACAAACAAACAAACCCCATGGAAAGGGGAGGTCTAGCTCTTCTGTAAAACCCTGGCTGACGTTACCCCTGTGACGCGGGCCGGCTGGGATGAACCTCCAACCGCCGGCCCGTGGAGGTCGGCCGGAGGACAGCGCACCTGTGGGAGGAAGTCCTCGCCAGGGAGGCGGTCCTCCCTGCATCCCCTCCAGAAGACATCAGGTCTCCCTTCGGACAAGTGCTGGCGTGTCCACGTGCAGGCTGGCGGTCGCCTGTCGCCGCCGAGTCCACCGACGTGGCTTGGAGCTCCTCCTCCGCCTCCTGAGTGCAGCCGCCCTTCCTCAGCTCGTCTGACCCTCCGCTAACGCCAGTGACGCCGCGCCAGCCCGGGGCCGCCGGCGACCCCAGCCAGGAACAGGATGGCCCCCCTCCATCGGACTCTCCACCTTCTTGGAGTCAGGCTCCATGTGAAGCTCGCTCAGTAATCTCCTTGACATGTTTTATATTGTTTTGACCGCCTTCTTTTGTAGAAATAAAAATTGACCTTAGAATTTATCGTCAGATGGACTCGTAAGGATCTGAATGTTCATGTCTTTTCCAAGCAAGCGAGACTGCCCCTGAAGTAGTAAGAGTCCTGGTCACTGACACCCAGAGGAGGCCAGGGATCCGAGCACCGGGGGTCTTCCCTCCGCTCCTGCCGTCCGGGCCTTCCTCCCCTGGTACTCCACGGGCGAGATCCAGTGGAGAAGATGGCTTAACCGTGGCTTCCTATCTTAATTTTAGCTTTGTGACTTGAGGTCTTCGGGGCTCGCGGCCCATGAAACAGCTTGGCTTTACCCAGCAGAGGTGGGATGGTGGGGGGCCGTGACCACAACTTCTGTAGCCCCAGGTACGCTCAAGACAGGCCTTGGGGCCCCGAGCGCCCTGGCCGGCACGGCCATGCCTGTCTCTTCATTAGCAGAAAGGCAATGAGGGACTTGATTTCACTCATGCAGATTTGTTAATAAAATGCCAAATTCTGTCAGAAGCACTTCAGATCAGCCGCCGTTTGTTCTGCTCGCCGCTCTGAGCCCAGAATTATTGCCATTCCTGGAAACCCGCCCACTGCTTCATGCTTCCACCAGCGCAGCTCTGCCGCCTGTCTCCCCTGCCCCCTGGCCTGCTCGCCACGGGAGGACGCCCGCTGTGCTCCACGCGGCGGCCCCTCCCCTCGGGGGTTCACACTCCTGCTTCGCTGCGCCCCTCCAAGAGCAGGCTGGCGGGCGGCCCCTCCCGCCAGGACCGGCTCCACCGGCGGGTGTGCGCTGAGCCTTCGGGCAGGCGTGGAGCAGCTCACCAGCAGCCTTGCTCCTCCGGACCTGACAGCCGGTCCCCCGAGCAGGGGAGAGCTGCCAGGCCCGCCTACAAGCGCATGCCCTGGCCCCCCGCCCCTCCCCACGGCGGGCGTGAGCCTCCCGAGACGCTGCGATCTGCTCTGCTGCCCTGAATAAAAGTGCTCTGGGACACGGTCTGCTCGTGTGGGTTTGTTTGTTCCTTCTTGGGGGTGGGGCTGCACGGGTCTCCAGGAGAGGGGTGCAGACATCTTCTGGCCAGGCCCCAGGCAGCAGAAGGGACTGCGGGACCCCTGGGGCATCAGGGGAGGGGACACTGACCTCTGGATGTGCGTCCCTGAGTAGGGTGCCTCCTGGCAAGAGGTTGGGGAGCTGGTGAGGGTGTGCGCAGGGAGGGGCCAGGCCAATTCCTTTAATTCCAGCCCAAACCCGCACCCCAAGTCCCAGGACTGCGGCCCTTGGGCTGGCTCAGCAGCAGGCCCGCTGGGGCCCTGACGGAGTTCTCCCCTGGGGGCCCTGCCTGGGGGTTTGACACCCGCTGAGGCCCTGACAGCTCGGCTGCAAGTGGCAGCAGGAACTTCCTGGGGGCATCATTTCAGCAGGAGGCGAGGCAGCTGGCCCCTTCCCTTGATCGTCAGCAGGGACCCCCACCTCGGGGCCGCCCCTGGGCCCCGTCACCCTGCTTTCACAGAGGGGACCAGCCAGGGGCCCCCACCACCAGCCACAGCCCCTCCCCAAAGCCTGAGACCCCCTCTGCTCCCTGCCCTCACTGGCCCCCAATCTCTGGTCTTCCTCACTTGCAAAACGTTCCACCTGCGTCCTCTTGGCCTGGCGTCCGGCGCCTCCGGCTCCCTGGCCTCCTCTGCCCCGGGCCCTGGCCTTGGCGGGGTCCTGTCTGTGCGGGGAGGCCTGTGTCCTCCCCAGCAGCATGTCCGTGCAGCACCCTGCAGGGCAGCCCTGAGCCTCAATGCTCCCACCATCTGCATGGGCTCCTCCAGGCCCGCTTCCCACCCCGCCAGGAACGGAGCCGAGTGAAGCCCAGTTCTCGAACAGCGCAGTGCCGGCTGGGCCCCGCGTAGGAAACGCCGTCTTCCTGGTGCCTGGCCGGCGGGTGCTAGGAGCCACACTGCTGAGGCTTCGTCCTCACACTCAGGTGTGTGTCCCACGCCTGTCCCTGTGTGTAGAGGCCGCAGGCTCCTTGCAGGCTGCGTCCCAGCCGCCCCATGCCTGATGGACCGTGGGTAATGGCGAACCCCTCGTCTGGGCCATCCAGGGCACAGCAGGTTGGACAGCATTAATGCCCCCCTGTGGGATCAGGGACCAGCCCTCCGCCTCCTCGTCCTGGTCACCAGAGCCTCTGCTCCTCCCACCCTGGCTCCCTGGTGACAGTAGCCTCTCCTGCAGACTCTCCGTCTCCCCCGTCACACACACTGTCTCCTGAGCCAGCTCCTCTCAGAGCAGCAGACACCCCCCAGGGAGCACATGTAGACAGACCCCTGTGGGCAGGGCAGGATGAGAGGGAGGAAAGACCCACAGCTGGAGAAGTCGAGGTCCAAGGAAGGACAGGGAGGAGCCTGAACCCAGAAAGAGGGACGGAAGCCGCCAGCTGGGACGGGCCCTACCCTCACACAGTCAGCAAGCGCATTGGGCTCTTCTGGCCCCAGTGGCCGCCTGACCCAGACTCAGGCCCAGCGCGTGTCGAGTCAGTGAGCAGGCAGCCTCACAGCTGTGACCCCCTTCTCTGGGTCTGCAAAATGCGGACACCAGCGCTGTGACGTGAACTCCATGAGGCGGGAAGGACCACCTGGGGCTCCGTCTGCTCTGGCACCACCCTCAACCCAGGCCCCAGGAGACCCACCCACAGGGCGTCCTCGCATCCCGAGGGGCCCCACTTGCAGACAAGACCACCTCTCCTGGGCAAACATAACACTACTGCAGGCTTGCAGGACCTTCTCAGGTCCGCTCCCTGGAATGGCAAAGGATCGCTGACTTAGGCCTCCCCAAGATTGTAGCCTGGGAGAGATTCTTCCAACCCCTCACTACCTACCCCCAGAGAAAAGGATGAAGAGAGCTGAGGCACGGGCGGAGCCAAGGCGGACCACACTGCTAACGGCTCCTGGGAGAGTAACCTCAGGGGCCCGGAGTGGTGTGCGTGTGTGTGTGGGAAGGTTCCGGGGCCCGGTTCACAGGATACATGCCACTTTATTAACACAGCCACCTCTGCTCCGAGCGCCCACACAAGGATGATGCCAGTGGTGTGATGGCCCCACACCTGGCAGGGCCCAGGCCCAGAGGTCACGGCCGCCCCCCACAGCCAGAGCGCTTGCAGAAGCTTGCCCGCCACACCCCACACCATGAGGACCTGGGCCCAGAGGTGACATCGTCCAGGCCCAGGAACGTGGGCTCTGGGGCCCGGGTTTCCTTCCTGTGCACCGAGGACATGAACGCTCAGCTGTCAGCCAGGGTCACGGTGGGGAGGGCTCCAGAAAGGTGTCCCGAGTGGCTTTGCTGGTGGACCCCACTCCAGGCCTCTTGCAGTCTAGATCTCCCACAGTGCAGAGCTGCACACCGTCCCGGGCAAGCTGAGCCTGCAGCGCGGGCGCCGTGAGGACACGCAGCTCGTGCAGGCGATCCGAAGAGCAGGAGAAGGCGTCTGGGCCCTCCCCGCAGCCCCCAACCGGAGGCACACTTGGGTAGCCGGGGTGCACCATCAGCTCGGCCGTCACCGCCTGGCCAGCAGGCATACCTTCCAGGGCCCGAGTCAGTGCCTCCAGCACACGGTGAGCGGACATGTGCCGGCCGCAGGTGCTGAGGCCCACGAAGACGTCAGTCCACCTGTGGGTGCCAGGGCATCAGCAGCAGAACCAAAGGGCCTCAGTGGGCAGGGCTAGGCCAGGGACCAGGGACAACTGGGATGGGGGCAACGCCAGAGGAGGCCTGACCCCCGTGGAGGCTAAGAAATGTGGAGGGGGTCACAGCTGGGCAAGGCACAGTCAGCCAGAGGCACAGGGGTGGAGGGGGTTGCACCAGGGGGCTGGGGGCCTTACCGAAGGCCATGGTGAACGAAGGGACCGATGGCAGCGCTGGCGTCTTGCTCCAGGGCGCCGGCAAAGTCCCGCGCTGGGGCCTCCAGCCAGGCGCAGCCGTCCACCCCGCGCTCCAGCGGCAGCCTAGTGTAGCGCACTCCACAGGCCTGCAGGGCCTCGGCGAACACCCGGCACACGCCTGCAGGCGGGCCGGGCGGAGTCAGGGTGAGGCCCGTGCAGCACACCCCCACCCCGGGGTGGGAGCCCCGTCCCGCGCACCTGGGAGCACGTGCACGTGCTGGTGGCCGTCGACGTGAGTGGGGTCCCTGCCCAGTAACTCCCGGAAGCGGCTCAGCTGGGCCTCCAGCTCTTCTCGCACCTGGAGAAAGAAGGTGACAGTCATCTAGCACACGACCTGGAGCAGCTCCCCAGGGGGACCCCGTCTCCGCGCTCCGCTGCGATCGTCCCTGTGTCTGAACCAGGGAGGCATCCGGCGCCCCAGTCTAGCTCGTAATGGTCCAGGGCGCCCTTGCGGCGCAGCCCTGAGCGTCTTCCTGCAGCCGCACCTGCGCACCTGGGACAAGATCACTTCTCCGGCCGCCACCGCCCGCCGGAATCCCATCTTGCCGAGGAAGAAGCCCTCGGAGCCGGTCAGCGAAGAGGCGCCATGGCGGGCCGGGCCCACGGGGCGGCCCTCGGACAGGTTGGCGTGGAGGCCCGTGGGGATCCGGTGCCTGCGGGCGGAGCGCGAGCAGGGAGCATCGCGGCGCGGACCGCGGTACCCGAGCCCGCCCCGGACCGTGCAGGAGGGCCGCCACTCACCTGCGGGCCAGTTCAGCCGCGCTCCCGGCGGCCGAGCCGTTGACCAGCAGGGACACGCTGGTCACAGCCCCGGCCAGGAAGGCTTCCACGATGCCCTCGTCGCGCCGCGGGCAATAGCCAAAGTCGTCTGCCGTGACCACCAGCCGCACGCGGGGCCGGGCCATGGTGCCGCCACCCGCTGGATGCTCAGGGTCCGAGCGCGCGGGCGGACGGTCCAGCCCCGCCCCAGACGTCGCCCGAGGCCCCGCCCCGACGCACGCGCAGCGCTCGGTCTTTGTTCCCGCCACCTGCTGGCCCCGGGGCTCCCTGGAACCCGGGTGCCCCGCCCCACCCCGAGCACGGGACTTGCAGTGACTGCAAAAATGTTTCATATGAAAAACGG